GCTGAAATGAGGGCCTGGTGGGATGGAGCAGTGGAGGGAAGGTGCCCTTGGCGGTAGGGCTGGTCTCTCCAGCGCAGTACACCGACGTCTTCAGGTTCAGGACCTGACCCCACCGTGTGGGCCGCGAGCCCCATTTGTTGGCAAGCTCTGCTGCCCCTCAATCTCTGCAGTGCTCACCAGCTCAATATTTAAACTGCATTTTCAGTGTCCATGAGAGGACTGCACCTGTCAGTGGTGGACGTCTTCATGTGATCTGTGAGTGTCCCCTTCACAGAGTCAGGGGACCAAGGAAGCCAAATCCATAAACACAGTGTTGCCAGGTATGGTGGCACATGCCTGTAACCCCAGCACTTGGGAGGCTGAGGCAGGAAGATCACTGTGAGTTCAAGGCCAGCCTGAGTGAGCTACATAGCAAGACCTAATCTCAAAAAAACCCCAAACCAAACCAAACAAATAATGTTGCTTGGAGCATACCAGTTCGCACCAGGTCATCAAAGCATCTTAGGATGGCAGGTTCTGGAGCCAGACTTCCTGCCAGGGCTCACCGGCTTCGTGGCATTGCATAAATTACCTGAGCTCTCCATACCTTCCTCAGTTTCCCCGCTGGTAATGTGAAGACTGTAATACTAGTCAATCTCCTAAATTTACTAATACAATTAAATTATCTACTGCATCCAAAGTGCTTAGGAATATGTGGTACCTAATAGACTCGAAGCTCTTGTTTTATGGAGAGGAATTACAACTAGGGCTTGTTCCTGCCCTGTAGCCTCTCTCTGCAGGGACCAAACTCCTACCTCTAATTCAGGTCCCTGATTCCTAGTTCAGAGTCTCTTTCAAACAGGTCAGGGCTGGATAAAAACCAGAATGCCCTGTGGGCCCAGGAATTTAATGTTGATTGGCTTAATCTGCAGTCCCAGATTGTATGGATACAGCTTAACATGACCACAGCCATCTTGAGCTGCGACAGGCATGGTTGCCCCAGAGTAACCCCAGTCTTCTTTTCCTGCATAATTTCCCAGCAAATTATAGACAAAACCATCACAGTGGTATGTGGAGTTTTAATACCAGACACTGCCTCCAGTGAGGTGCCAAACTTTTTGATAACTAGTTTAGATAAACCAGGTAGATTCCAGCTAGTATGAAACCACTTTTGTCCTGACCCGTATGTACACCTCTCTCTGACCCTAATTCCAAGGATCCAATCGGTCTTGTGGCTGCCAGACACACATTCCATGGGAAAGTCCCACAGTAAATTGCACTCAGCACAACTGTGGATCCGTCCCCCTTTCCTCCTTCAGCCTCCTGAAACCCTGGGGCCTGTATTCATACACTAGGGATGGACCGCTCCAGGGCAGTTATCTCATCAAACTCTAACCTAGCTGCTGCAGTGAAAGTGTGATGTATGTGTACTCAACAACTACAATTGTTTTGCAATACTGAAAATCAAACCAAAGGGCATTGTGCCACTGAGCCACATGCCTATCCCTTTTTACTTTGAGTCAGGGTCTCACTAAATTGCTCAGATCGGTGTGGAATTTGCAATCATCCTGCCTCAGCCTCCCCAGTGTCTGGAATTAGAGAATGAGCCACCACAACTGTCTTACAATCAGTTGATTGTAAGAAATTACATTCTTGTGTGTGTGAGGTACTAGGGATGGAAAGCAGGGCCTTCAAACTGAGCCAAGCTACATCTCCCTAAGTCACTAAATTGCCCAGTGTGTGCTTGAATGTTTGCTCCTCATGTCAGCCTTCAAGAGCACTTTTCTGGAGGTGCTTTTTTTTTTGCTATATTGAGATTAAATCCAAGACCGCCACGCTGAGCTACATTCTCAGCTAGGATGAAATCACTTTTCTGGCTTTAAATTTTATTTAACTATTTTATTTTTGTTTGTTTGAGACAGTCTTGCTTTGTAGTGCAGGCTGGCCGTGAACTATGTAGTCCAGAGTGGGCTTGAATTCAGTGATCCTCCTGCCTCAGCCTCCCAAGTTCTGAGATTACAGGTATGTGCTACCATGCCCAGCTTAAAAAATTTAAGAGGGCCAGAGATTTAGCTCAGTGGTGCTGCTGCCTGCCTCACAAGTGCAAGGACCTGAGTTCGATCCCCAGTAACAAAGAAAATAAATAAGTAAATAATTTAAATTTTATTATTTATTGTGGTACTGAGGATTAAATCCCGAGCATTCACACTGAGCCACATCTCCAGCCCTTTTTTAATTTTTTGAGACAGATCTTACTAATTGCTATATCACCCAGACTGTGCTAAAGTTGGGATCCTCCTGCCTTATCTTACTGAGGGCTATTACAGGTGTCCACCACCATGCCCAGCTTGACTCAGAATCTCACTAAATTGCCCAGCCTTGGATGAACTTGTGATCCTCCTGCCCCAGTCTACCAAGTGCTGGGATTACAGGTGTGTGCCACCACACCTGGAGAGATTTGAGCTTTTTACAAGCACGTGATTTGTCTTTAAGCCCATAAAAAAAATTTTTTTTGGTACTGGGGCTTGAACTCAGGATCTTGCACTTTCAAGGCAGGTGCAGGCGCCATTGAGCCAAATCCCTGGCTGAGATATTTTTTTTTTTCAAATTTATGCAGAACTATTGTGGGAAGATACAGTGGCCCCTTGACTTACAAACTTGATAGGTTCTCAAGGGCTGGTTGTAACTCAAGTTGTTTGTAGGTCAGTACAGCTGAGATCTGGATGTTTACCTGTACACACTATAGATAACAGGCAGATGACTCTTCCATGACCTAAATAAACCAAGCTGTTCACATGTCAGGTTGGTCATAACTTGAGGGTCCACTGTATTCAAATTTCTTTGGACTTTGGAAATAGAAGAAATAGCTCACGGTTCATCTCTTACGTTCTACAGGGATCTAGAGTGGGATTCAGGCCATAGAAGCCATTTTTTTCCTCAGGTAATTGGAAATCTAAATATTTCTGAACTCTCAGCTCTCCAGTCCCTACTTGTCACTGATTTTTTTTTTCCTCAAACTGTGGCCACATTACGTGAAAGCTTTCCTTGGTACATGATTTGCTCATTCCCAACTCTACTTTTTCACACTGCTTATCTTTGCTGTTTCTTCCAAAATTCTATCCCAAATTTACCTCTACAAAGCCTGAACCAAATCTGCCTTCCCTATCATGGCTCCAGATTCATTACTTTTGGTTGGCAAACACACACACACACGTTATTCTGGGGATTGAATCCAGCAGGACCTTGCACATGCTGGGCAAGCACTCGACTACTAAGCTATACCTCCACTACATTTTTTCAATGTGTGCATGTTTGAACTCCAGGCCTTCACACCGAGCTACATCCCCAGCTTTTTTTTTGGTACCAGGGATCAAACTCAGAACCTTGTGCTTTCGAGGCAGGCAGTGCTACCACTGAGCTAAATCCCTGGCCCAACAAGAGTTGGTGCTGTATTTTTTTTTTGGTCCCCCCTCTGTAATTGAGGCTGTCCTTGAACCCACAGGGATTCTCCTGCCTCAGCCTCCAGAGTGCTGGGATTACAGGTCTGTGCCACCACACCCAGTGCCCCCTTTTTTGTATTTTGAGACAAGGTCTTGTAAAATCACCAAGTTGCCCAGGCTAGGCTCAAACTTCCACCCCAACCCGTCAGCCTCCTAGAGTGCTGGAATTAGAGGAGCACACTATCACACCTAGCCCCAGTGCCTTTTATTTCTCTGAAATACTGTCTTGCTAAGTTGCCCAGACTGGCCCCAAACTTGCCACCCTCCTGCTTCAGCCTCTGCAGTAGCTGCAATCAGAAGCATATGTCACTGTTCCATGCTTGTTAAGACTGTTCTGTGTACCTACTGCTGTCTACAGATTATAAATATTAAGGACAAGGACTACTTTATTATTATTGTTCTATTTCAAATACCACAACCTAGTACAGTTTAGAACGAGCACCTAATTAAATAAAATGCTGAAGACTATACTCAACATCAATTAGATTTTGTTTTTGTTTTTAGACAGGGTCTCACTATGTAGTTGAGGCTGACTTGAAACTATGTAGCCCAGGCTGGTCTCGAATTCACAGCGATCCTCCTGCCTCAGCCTCCCGAGTGCTGGGATTATAGGTGTGCGCCACCACACCTGGCTAGATTTTGAAATTTTTGAGGTTCATTTCCAGATGCTACTCACCACCAAGGGAAACTCTACCTTTATATATTAGAGAAAGCCCACTAACTGACATCTGTCAGCTACCACCTTAACCCAGCAATCAAATGTATCCTAAATAATGAGACTTTTCAAGCTAGGTGTGGTGGTGCACACCTGTAATCCCAGCATTTGGGAGTCTGAGGCAGGAGGATCACTGTGAATTTGAGGCCAACCTGGGCTAGTGAGTTCAAAGTGAACCTGAAGCACAAGTGAGACTGTCTCAAAAAAATGGGGAGGAGGGCCGGGGATTTAACTCAGTGGTTCGGTGGCCGCCTGCCTTGCAAGCGCAAGGACCCAAGTTCAATCCCCGGTACCAAGGGGGGTGCATTCTGATGTTATGGCTCCAGTTTGTACACTGTGAAGTATATGTTGTCTAAATAGTCTTTGCAAAAATGTTTTGCCTGAACCCAGTCAAGCCTGTAGATCTACCTCGTTTGCAGGAAATACAGGTTTACAGCACTGTCCAACAGAACTTTCTGCAATATACATGTCCTGTACATGCACCATCCAAACAGTAAACACCAAGCTACTAGAAATTCAATTTTATATAATTGTCTTAGATTTGAATTTAAATAATTACATAGTGGCTACTATATTGGAATAGGAGAGGAACAGTTGGGTGTCACAGGGAAATGATGAGACATTCCAAAAAGTAATTGACCCAATTTTTTACAGTAAATTTCTTCCTTTTTTCTTTTCCACAGTACTGGGGATTGAACCCAAGGTCTCCACACTTAACTGCATTCCCAGCCCTCTTTATATTTTATTTTGAGGTAGTCACTAAGTTGCCCAGGTGGGATTTGAACTTGAGATCCCCTAGCCCCAGCCTCTTCAGTGCTGGGATGACAGGCACGTGCCACCATGCCCAGCTATTATTGGCTATTTCTGAGTTTTTCCATTATCTAGTTGCTAACGGCCCACTTTGTTTGATGAAGGGTCTCACTATGTATCCAGGCTGGCCTCGAATGTATGGCAATCCTCCTGCCTCAGCACCCGCCTCCCCGAGTGCTGGGATTACACACGTGCCACCATGCCTGACTCTTTTGTCCATTTTGTGTGGAATAACATTTGCTCACAGAAAAATGGTGGTAAGCACCACTTTAAAAAAATTTAAAGTAATCATTTAGGTAAGGCTATGTGCACTGAGTGGTGAGTAGGACTATGAAAATTCATCTTCAGGGAAAGCATTTGCTTTCTGTCTTACGTTCCTGGGACAAAATACTTGAAATCTGCAAATTGAAGGAGGAGAGGTGTAAAAAAATTTTAAAAAAAATTAAAGTTGAGTTCAAGAACCTAATTCATCTCATACCATCTTGGAGCACCATTTGACTTTTGCAGCATACCCGAATCAGTCTCTCTGGGAAGTGGCTGAGAAGCTGAATAGGTTCTAAGTAAAGGTAGGGACCCTCTGCTTCCATTCTCCCTCCCTGGTTTTGTCGTGAGCCAGGCCCCTCCTTGTTCCCAGCTAAAGTGCCAGTGAACTCGGTTGGGGTCTCCTCCCCACTCTGTTTTGAAGAGACGCAAAGTCTTCAAGCCCTGGCAGAGGGAACCAGGAACACAAGTAGCTGTGTCCTCACCTCATACTGAGCTGGATGCCTCGCTGCTTTATTATAACGGCTGACAGCCCACTACCTGCCTGAGCAGCTACCACTCTGGAGATCATGGTTCTTCCTAAGCAAGCTGGGATTTAATCCCATTCTGCTCTCCCAGAATGAAGCCTCCAGGACTTGAGGAGAAGGGCAGGCGGGAGCTTCTGCAACCCACCTTCTGGGTTAGCACTGCAGATCTGTTGCTCTTCGGATCCACTCAGTTCTTCTCCTTACCCACAGACTTCAATGTTCTTTCTCCATCCTTGCCCATGGAAAGACTAAAATCTTAAGACGTAATGCCATCACTTTATTCAGGAGAATCCAAAACAGGGCTGACACTGACAAACAGCCACGTGTAAAGTCACACAAATCTGGGCCGGGAATTTAGCTCAGTAGTTCCACCACCTGCCTCACAAGTGCAAGGACCTGAGTTCGATACCCAGTACCCCCCAAAAAAAAACCCAAAAACCAAGTTACACAAATCTGCTCACTGCATTTTCCAGAAGAGACCATCAGAAACGAGTAGGGTATGTGCACAGCTGCAGTGTTTTAGGCCCATGTCCGACTTTCTCTTGGAGTGAAAGGAGCCCCAGGTAGAAGTAGCCCTTAAAGCAGGAAGAGAAGCAACGGCTGCACAGAAGCCGTGCTTCCTGGCTCTGCCTGATCTCAGTGGTAGGCCTTGCTGAACTCCTGCAGGGCCCAGCGTTTGTTCTCTGTTGCCTGCTTGAGCTGGGTGTACTCCTTTACCAGCCTGTCAAACTCCTCCCCGAGAACCTCATAGGTGTTTAGGACCTGTCGTGACTTCTGCAAGTCCTGCTCCTGTAGGCGAATGCCTGCCTCTAAGCGGTCCCTAAGGGCCCAGACAGAGAAGGTTCAGTGTAAGGATACCTGTACTGCAAACAGACACAGGGAGCGAGTTAAAATGAACAAGGCTGGAGCGTGTGGGGGTCCTCACCTAATGAGCTGATGAACTTCCACTTTCTCAGCAGTGTAAGTGTCGGACACAATCTTCAGTTCCTCCATTCTGACAGAGGGAAGAAAGAAGTGTCACATGGGTGATCACTGACAGCAGCAGAGCCAGGCACAGACATCATGCCTGGCCAAGTTAAGTGGGAGCTAAGCAGGTGTGGGATAAATAAGGTCATCCTCAATCCTTGAACTGATCTCACGTAAAACACCTATCTCAGAAAGTTGTAGAGGGAAAGATGTCAAGAGCTTTTGGGTGATCCAAAGCTGACACTGCCAGGATACTTCCTGGAAGCCCCGGATGCTAGGCAGGGGAGAGAGGAAGAGAGGAGGGGGAGGGACAGGTAAGTGGTGTATGGGCCCCCCAGGGCACAGACACAGCTCACCGCAGCTTAAGGATCATGGCGCTGCACTTGACTTCCAGGTACTGAGCATTGATGCGATCCAGCTCGGACTGAGTCTGCAGCCGGTGCTCCTGAAGTAGCCTCTGCAGCAAGATGAGGCAGCGGAGAAGTACCTTGAGGCCCCAAGAGGAAGGAGGAAAAGGCTGTAAGCAAAGCCAACAGGAAGCAGGCAAATCAGAAACCCTGCTTCCCTAAAGGGGCAGGGTAGAGGTGAGCAGATGCACCTGGGAGTAGGTGGCACTCTTCTTCTCCAGCAACACCAGCTGCTCCTTCTGCTGACCCTGCGCGTCCTGGCACCGCTGCCTTTCAGCCACCATGACCTCTGCCAGTTTCCACACCTTTGCAGCCTTCAGGGTTTCACTGTCGGCATCTAGGCACGGAGATGGAGGATTGGCAGGACAGATCTGCATGCTACTGTCTTTCTAAGGCCTGGGTGCCCGTCCTACCTCTGGCCCTCTAAATTCTGCCTTTTTCCCAGTTCCTTCTGCTGTCCAACTCTCACTGTTAGGTTCTCCTTGCTCTGACCTCTGAGTCCTACTTTGTCCCTGAATTTATAAAGATAAGGGTAACCCACAGGGGTGCACTCCTTCTGCCATCTGATCCCCCAGAGGATAGCATCCTTCCCTCTCACTCTGCATCTGCACCACACCAGCACCTTGCTGAATAAAAGGAATGCTTACAAAGTGCTTGTTTTTATGCCACCAGCAAAAAAACAAATCAGCATCTCTGATCCTTCAAATACATTATTCTCAAAGAGCATTCAGAACCCTGAAGCCAGCTGTGAGCAGAACAGAGAGCCAACACGCACCTGAATTGGGGTCATGGTAGCAAAGCAGAGTGAAACATTTCCTCTTGAGCTGCTCCTCCACTTCCAGCTGGAGCCGAGCTCGCATCCACACAAAATCCTACAGCCAAAGAGGCCAAAAGAGAGGTGAAAATAAACTGCCAGAACCTGGAGACCTCGCCTTGAATACATGATACAACCACAATGGTAACCAAAGAAAATGCATCAAGAGACAGCAGGGAGACTCATTGTTAGCCTAGCAAGTTAGCAAAGCGGGGCAGGGTGGCTCAGCAGTGTAGTGCTTGTCGAGCACGTTCAAGGCCTTGGGTTCAATCTCCAGCACTGCAGAAGAAAAAAAATTTTAAAGTAAAATGACTGTCAAGATCTCATGTTGGTGATAACACAGGCTGCTACCATAGGAGCACTGCAAACACTTTTTCAGAAAGCAGTGTGGCGGTACTAATCAGTGTGGTAGGTTTTTGTTTTTGTAGTAATGGGGATTGAACGCAGGGGCCTTCACACTTAGCTTCATGTATACACACACACACACACACACACAAGTAATTCAGTCCTTTTTAATTGAGACAAGGTCTCACTATGTAGCCCAGGCAGTCCAAATTTTTGATCCTCCTGCCTTGCCCTCCTAGAATGCTGGATTGCGGGTGTGTGCCACTACACCTGGCTTGGTTTTTATTAGTTTGTTTTGTTTGTTTGTTTTTGTACCAGGGATCAAACTTGGGCTCTTGCACTTGTGAGGCAGGCACTGGAACCACTGAGCTAAATCCTTGGCTATTAGTTTGTTTTTGAGACAGGGCCTATGTAGTCCAAACTAGTCTGGAACTCACTGTGTAGCCCAGGCTGGTCTCAAACTCATGATCCTCCTGCCACAGCTCCAAGATGCTGGGATTACAGGCGTGTGCCATTACACCCATGTATCATCTTATTTACATATATTTATTGACTTGAAAACAAAAGTCTAAACCAGGCGTGGTGGCGCACACCTGTAATCCCAGCACTCGGGAGGCTGAGACAGGAGGATCGCTGTGAGTTGAGACCAGCCTGGGCTACACAGTGAGTTCCAGGTCAGTCTTAACTACATAGTGAGATCTTGTCTCAAAAAGAAAAGTCTAAAATATATATATAACACCAAAACAAACTCTACAAAGGATGGAGGTTATAATACCATTTTACATCCAATTGTTTATACAATACTGTGTTTCAAGATGTAGTACTTCAGCTTTTACTATCTTCTGTATATTTTTTTTTCTTTTGACTTACAGAAGTTTATTTAACAAAAAATTTAGTATGAAAATGTGTATGACCCAATTTTTTAGTCATAGCTAGTGCTCGGAAGAGGGGAATGGATTTCTCTGCCGAACAGTTACTATTTAAACTCGTTCCAAGGCTTCCAACATGATGATACTATTTCCTCGTATTACCACCATTCCAATATTGTTCTGTTGCCCACTAGTTGCCATCTCCACACATTCATCTATCACAAGATTCATAAAGGGATCAAATCCTCTCAATATTCCTTGGACATGTCTGCCACCATTTAATTTCAATGGTAACTTCTTGTCCATAAATTTTTTCACCTCAGGAGGGTGAGCCTTGCTCATCTTGTCTAAAATTCGCGGGCTCAGAAATCCTTTGAAAGGGAATCCGTATAATGTTTTTCTTATTTGAGTTTGATTATCATGAATGTATATACATTTTTTAAAATGGTAAAGCTTAACAACAAATCATGAAATGGGAGAAATTAAGCAGATCTGCTTCTTTGTTCCCAGTACGGGCCCACTCCCACCTCTGAGGGTGGCATGAGCTCCAGAAGATCCGCCTTCTCCAGTCCTAGCAGTGGAGGCGTCTCGCTCTCCCGGCTAGGGCCTAAGATCTGTGTCAGTTCAGTCACAAGTAGCCGATGTTCGAGGGTCTCCAGGAACTGAAAGAGAGAATGAAAAGCAAAAGAGGTAACAGGGCCAAGGATTTAGCTCAGAGGCACAGTGCCTCCCTCAAAAGTGCAAGGTCCTGAGTTTGATCTCCAGTACCAAAAAAAGAAGAGGTAATTAAAAAATTTCTCTTAGCCGGGCATGGTGGCGCACGCCTGTAATCCCAGCACTTGGGAGGCTGAGGCAGGAGGATCGCTGTGAGTTCGAGACCAGTCTGGAATACATAGTGAGTTCCAGGTCAGTCTCAACTACATAGTGAGATCCTGTCTCAAAAAACAAACAAAACAAACAAAACAAAAACAAAATTTCTCCTACTCCATCTCTTCCATCCCTGTGAACTGGTTCTCATACATTTTCTTTTTTGTTATTGCTGTTGTTTTTTGAGACAGGGTCTCACTTTGTAGTTCAGGCTGGCAGTGAATTCATTATGTAGCCCAGGCTGGCCTCTAACTCAGAGATGCTCCTGCCTCTACCACTGGAGTACTGGGATTAGAGGCGCATGCCACCACACCTGGCTTCTCATACATTTTCAAAGTCCTCAAACCTGTCATCCTCTCCAGATAACTCAGCTGCAACTGGCTTCTCCTGTCAATTTTTCTATTTCAAAGCCTTGCCCAATAACTAGTCCATTTGTTTTTTCATAAACCATTACTTTAAGCCCACCTTTCCCCTACACCACCTCATTAGACAAAGCCACAGCTGTCCAGGTCATTCCTGTAAGTGGTCACTGACACCAACCTCCTCTCTTCAGACTCACCTTTTTGTCCTCAAACGTTAAATTTGTGTCTTGCTTCTTCACATAGTAGTCCACAAGCAGCTCTTGAATTACTCGCTGCAAAATCTCAAACCTCAACCATGATGTCTTATGCAGTCGAACTTCCTTCCATGCCTAGAAAACCAAATGTTCTCAGACAGGAGCCTCTCTCGGAAGGCTTTCCCATCCTCCTGCCTGCCCTGCTGCTGGGGCCCTTACCTCAGCCTGCTCCTTTGCCAGGAAGAGGCTTAAGCCACTCTCATCCACAAGCTGTGAGAGACTCAGCAGCAGCTTGCTGAAGTAGGGGTTCTGCAGCAGGTCTTCTTCACTCAGGTTACAAGGAGGAAACTGCTTGCTGCACACTTAATGGTATGGGGATGAAAAAGTAAAGGGTATGGATTCTCATTTTATATAACTGAGCTAACTTAGTAGTTCCAAACAACCTGGGCTTTTGGTAGGAAAGGTTTCTAAATCTAATGAGATTTTTTTTTTTTTTTTTTTTTGGTACCAGGGATCGAACTCAGGACCTTGTACTTTCCAGTCCAATGAGATTTTTTTTTTTTTTTTGGCTCCAGGATCGAACTCAGGTCCTTGCACTTGTGAGGCAGGCAGCAGAACCACTGAGCTAAATCCTTGGCCCTCAACAAGATTTTTTAACAGCAACACAAACTAAACCAGGTATAGTGGCGCATGCTGGTAATCCCAGCACACAAAGGCTGAGGTAGGAGGATCACCATGAGTTCAAGGCCAGCCAGAGTTATATTTCAAGGCCCATTTCAAAACAAAACAAAAAAAGTAACACAAACTAGAGGTGATACTCAAAGTAACAAGCATTTGTTTTGTGTTCAATGTGAGGCAGGTGGCAGAACCACTGAGCTAAATCCCCAGCCCTTAAGCATTTTTATTTTTGGAGTCCCCCTTTGGTTTTTGTTGGGGGTGTGTGGCTGTGACAAAGTCTCACTATAGTTCAAGCTGGTCTTGAACTCACTACATAGCCCAGGTCGGCCTTGAACTCATGGTGATCTTCCTGCCTCAGCCTCCCAAGTGTTGGGATTACTGGCATGCAGCACCATGCAGGATTTTGTTTTTGTGTGTGTGTGTGACAGGATCATCTATGCAGCTCAGACTAGCTTCAAACTCACAATCCTCCTGCCTCAGTCTCTCAAGTGATTCCATTATAGGTATGCTTCCCCTGGCTGTATGTCATGAAAGGGAAATACTTGAATATCTAATAAAACTAAGTTCTTAGAAAAGGGAAATGCAGGGACCAGAGACATTGCTCAGTGGTTAATCATGTGTTTGGCATAAATAAAGCTGTGGGTTTGATTCACTGGACTGCCAAAGAAAACTTAATGAAAGTGCAGTTATAAACATGAAATAAAGAGAAGAATAAGGAACTCTTTAGGAAGGATCATCACAGCACCCAAATGCCTCATTCATGCAGAATTACTAGTTTATAAAGAGGGGGGAAAAATCATGTAAAATTCCAACTTTGGATGTAATCTCTAGTTGCATAAGCAAGACTGAGAAGATATACCCTTAAAGTAAGTAAAAGCTAACCAAATTCTCATTATTGTTAGCAGAGCTGACTAACCCTTATGGATACAGACCAGCACAAGTATGAGAAAAAGTGCAAGAAATTAGGTTGTCTGGTTATTCTGTACACTCAAGGGGCTTTCTCTCCATTTCCACTCTCTGCTGGGATCTTTTACCTCTACTCTCCAAACACTCACATTTTCATGCTTTGGAGCTTTATCCCCAAAGTCTTTTAAGAGTTACAAATAAGAACTCTCCCTTTCCCCACTCTGAAGTACTGAAGGATTCATTACAGAAATAGTCAAAACAAAGAAAATGCAAGTTCCTGGAGGATTTAAGACACAGAAAGGATTCGAGATATCAAAAGAGCTTGAGATACAGAAGGAGCTGAGATTTTGGAGAACAAGATGTGAGAAGATTCAAGCTCAGGAAGGAAACTGTCAAGGAACTGGCGAGCCACCTTTTATCTTTATAATATGCTTGCCAGTGAAGCACGGAAGCGTCCTGAGTTCGCACACACAGATATGGAACCAACACTAACAGGAGATGGTGTAATCTGCTTCCTGATAACAGCATTCAAGAAACTCCACATATTTTAGTTTCCCCAGAAACCTGGGTTTCTGTCAGGGAAACCGCACTAATGGACATGATAAATCCTTTTACTTAAGAAGAACTCAGATAAGACCTCTCTCATTCTGGGGAGGGCGTTATGGGGATTGAATCCAGGCTTTTGCACTAAGCTACATTCCCAGCCCCTTTTTTTTTTTTGAGTCAGGGTCTCATTAAATCACTAAATTGCCCATCCTGGGCTACAATCTTCTGGCCTCAGTCTCCCAGAGTGCTGAAATTATACTGTCTGAGCTACCACACCCAACCCAGATAAGATCTCTCTGGATAAAGTCATCAAACCTTTTGCAAATATCTACCCTTACCTTGTTGAACAATTTCCATCCCTTCTCCAGGTAAGCAGAAATCTCCAGATGCCATTTGATTTTCTTAGGTTAGGATTCTTATCTGTGCCCGAAACACAAAGATGAATAAATAGCTCATGCTCCAGATGAAACTGCCCTGGGTTTGAGTTTCTGTTATCCACAAGCTAGGAAGGAACCTCAGGGATGCCTTTTAGAGGAGGGGCTAAATCACACATCCTGGGTCCCCAGCTCTTATATAGGTTCGTGAACAGACTTACCAGTACCAGAATAACTGGCATTCCAAGAATATAAATGTCTCCTTGTTCCGAGCTGTTTAAAAAAAAAAAAGCCTCTTTCTGAAAAGGAAAGTTTCCAATTCAGTAAGGTCTAATCAGGATTCCCCACCAGTACCATTATAAAGCTGAAGTTAAAACTGAGCAACCATTTGCCAGATATGGGTGAACTGAGGAAAGATGGGGGGAAAAAAATCAAAGTCTGTTTTTGCGCCCTCCAGTCAAATAACTCGGCTATCAAAGTCAAGAATAGTTTCTTTGTGCTTCTTTAACTTGCCTTTCACTTAAGATCTGTTGGTAGTTTTTGATCATTAATTCTAGAATCATCCTTCAGGTGTGACAAAACATTCCACACTTGAACAACTATTGTTACATACAGCGTCAATAAGGGGCACCTGGAGGAATGAGGCGGACAAGACTGAGAGGTCAAAGCCAATGCAGTAGGGCGAAGGTGTAGCAATGTAGCTGAGACAGATAGGAACTGTGGCCAGAACATGCGGTACAAGGCAAAGAATGACATCAACACTGGGGGTGGTAAAGATGAGCACAGATTGGGCTCCTGAGGCAAAAATCTTTCCCTTGACATTATTTTCCACGTTTCTGCTCCACCCCCTCCTCTCCGTGAGGTATCCAACACCTAAGGGCAGCTGAGCCTCCCAAAGCAGGCCAGACATGGAAGGTTATTACGATTTAACACTTCACGTTCACAGAACATTTGGCTTACTCGCGCCTTTTATGAGTAACATCAAAGTAACTACTCATTTGTTTTGTAACATGGTCTAGAGGGGGACGCAGCTGAGAAGGCAGAATGCTAAGACTTAATTTGCAGCTCTGCCATTGCTTGTGTGAAGAGAAAATGCCTTTTTTCCTGCCAAACGTTTTTTTAACCTGTAAAACTGTGATAACGATTCCTGCCTTGCATGAGGCATTAAGAATTAATAACACAATTGGCTTGCTAACAAAAGCCACTATTGAGTTAAACTCCGTGTTTTAACAATTCTTATTTTTTAATCTAGGCCTGCAAATAAAAAGTTTTGCATACAAAGTTCTCACACAGAAATAAGGACCAACCCAAATTTCTACAAGTCAGCTGTTCCGTCCCTAGAGGACTGCCCACTTGGGTTTTTTCGGCGTTTTGTTTTGTTTTATGGGCGCTTTTCTTGACTCTTAAAATGTTACAGGGCGCGAACAGTGGCGGCAATCAGGCTGCATTCTCCACCCTCTGCACTTAGACGTGTTAAAACGCTGCTACAGGGACTCAAGCATTTAAATGTTCTGACTCAGGCGTCTTTTAAATTCTTAGAGCTGTCTTTACACGCTGCACTGAACGTTAAATTGATTTTACAGGTATTTTCACAAGATGTGACCCTTACAGGGCCCGAGATGAATCAAAATGCAGAGCGGGCTCTCCGGCGCCGACTTCCCTTCAGTCTGGGCCGCCAAGGATTCCCAAGGGCGAGGGCCTCCTCCTCCGCGGACGGCGGACACCGGCTGCGGCCGCACAGAGCCTCCTCCCGCGCGGCC